AGTTGCCCCAGACTCCCTGGGTTTTAATGTTGGACGGGAATGCCAAGACCACCCACCCAGAGTTGTTTTCTCTCTCCAGCATTCCTTTCTGACAGGTGGCTGCCTAACATCTGTTTACACACCTCCAGCGATGGGGAGCTCATTAGCATTCAAGGCAGCCTCAGTTTGTGGGATGGTTTGGGAGACTATCTGCATTTTTTTTTCACGTGTGTTTAGAAAACTGTGTGAGGGCTCAAAGGCAGAAGCTTATGGTTGCTCACAGCAGACCTCATTCCCTCACCCACCATCCTCAATAAGTGGTCTGCAAGATCTGCCTGCTGCCTTGCTCTCAGCTCACTATGTGGAACAGCTGTTAGCTTCTGAAATAGAAAAGTTGCAGCTTGCATGGCATCTTGGCCCCCCATCACAAAACCACATCCCCCGATGAATCTGCTTAGCCACCACCCCACCCCAAGGCCCACTATCCTGTTTCTCATTTGAGCTGATTTAGAAGGAAGGGAAAAGACAGTGGAATGTGAGCTTTGTGAGTGCAGGCTCTTTGTGATCACTAGGTCAGGGATCACTAGGGCATTGTGGCTCATGGGGACACTCAGCTGGGGGAAGGGAGGAAGTGGGTAGACAGAGTAATGGATGAGTGGCTGGATCGAGTGGTAGATGAATATAAGAGAGGTCCTGCTGGGTTTAAGAGGGTACTAGGTTCTCTAACGGAGTCCTGGTGTGGCACTATGGGTTAATGCAATGGTTTGAACCTCCTTGGAAACCCTATACAGGATCGCTATGAGTTGGAACTGGCTCGATGGCACTTCACAACAACAGGCTCCTTACACACCCTCGTGGTGCTGTAGGGTAAGCTCTGGACTATTAGCCACAAGGTGGCAAATCAAACCCACCAGCCACTCCTAGAGAGAGAAAGATGAGGCTTTCTACTCCTGTAAAGATTTACAGCCACGGAAACCCTATACAAGGTCACTGTGGGTTGCAATCAATTCAACAACGTTGGGTTTAGCTTTTTGGGTTTTGTTGTTCACAACCACAGCGTCTGTCACTACTTTCTCTCAGAGGTTGGCGCTAGAGAAGTGGTCACTTGTCTGCAGACAAAAGGTTCTGGTGATTGCTTTTAATATTAACACTAAGAAAAACTGCTCATAATTGCCCTGTGATTTATATTCTACAGAGCACTTTCATGTACTTCTTCTCTGATTGCCATGAGCATTCTGTGAGGTTATTCTCTTCTTACAGATGTGAAAACTGAGACCCTGATAGGTTCTGTGATTAGCGTTAGACCCAACCAGGAACATGAGCTGGGATACACTCTGCTTTCTCTCCTTCACCCACCTTAGCCTGTCTTCTCCCAAGCACTTCCCTGGCTTGCTTAGCTGCTGAGATAACTAATCTGAGTTGGTCACTGAAGCTGCCCTTCCCAGCCTGGGTTGACCTCTCTACTGACACTGTCCTGTTGAAACCCCCAGAAACCAACACCGAGCCACTGGAGAGAGTTCCAGGGCAGAGAAGTTCTCTGTAGTTACCACCCCCAACTGAATGGATCAGTTAGAGTTCAGCCATTCCACAAAGACCCTGTTCTTAAGGGAAGAAGGTGTCACATCCCCAAAGCCCTGTGTCCAAGGTTGTTGTGTGTTGTTGCTGATCCTGACTCACAGTGATCCCATGTGACAAAGATAGAACCATCCCAAAGGAATTTCTAGGCTGTAATCTTCACAGGGAAGTTCTGGTGTGGCGCTGTGAGGTAATGCACCAGACTGCAAAGCTGTTTGAACTGCAAGGTTAGTGGTTCAAGCTCACCAGCTACTCCTTGGAAACCCTATTCTAGGTTGCTATGGGTTGGAGCCGACAATGATCTTTACAGAAGTGATGCTGTAGGATAAGCACTGGACTGCTAACCACATGGTTGGTGGCTCAGACCGACCAGCTGCTCCTTAGAAACCCTATACAGGGTTCCTATGAGTCAGAACCAACTTGATGGACAGATCACTAGGCCTTTCTCCCTTGGAGTCATTGGGTAGATGACCTTTACAGTAGCAGCTGAGCACTTAACTGTTGCACACCAGGCCTCCTCCTGCCAAGGACTGTTGTTGTCATACCAACAAGTTGTTCTCGTACCAACATGTTGGTTCCAACCCCTCTGTGTACAGCAGAATGAAACACTGTCTGGTCCTGTACCATCCTCATCATTGTTGTTATGCTGAATCCCAATACTGCAGACATGGTGTCAGTCCATCTCGTTGGGGGTTTCCCTCTTTTTCACTGACTCTCCACTTTATCAAGCATGATGTCCTTCTACAGGGACTGGTCCCTCCTGATAAAATGTCTGAAGTATGAGAGATGAAGTCTCGCTATCCTGGCTTCTTAGGAGCATGCTGGCTATACATCTTTGAACACAGACTTGTTGGTTGTTCAGGCAGTCCATTGGGTATTCAATATTCTTTGCCAACACCATAATTCAAAACCATCAATAATTGAATGCTTATGAGGCAACTGGAAGAAGAAAACAAATATAACTTCAGAGTCAATAGTAAATTCTGCCTTCAGGCACCTTACTAACTGGGTGACTTCAGAGAGACCATTTAACCTTTCTGGTTCTCAATGCCTTTATCTGTAAAATAGGATATATATGACACCCATATCATAGAATTTCCATAAGGCTTAAATAATATAAGCAAACTATCCCACACCAACTTACCTGTTGTAACTCCTTGGTAAGTATCTGCTGATATTATCAGAGGCAACATGGGGAAAATGATGTAATTTCAAAGTTGAAAGGACTTTGGTCCAAATCCCTGCTCCATCAGTTATTAACTGTGGCACCTTACTTACCTTATTGTTAAGGTAAATTATTTACTTACTGAGACTCCAATCCTCATTTCTGCAATGAGGATAACAAACCTGGCTTTCAGGATTGTTGTACACATTCTCTCCCCAAATGTGGTATGAACACCCTTGGTTGTATATGTGATGAATTTAGGTGGGACATAGACACACTACTGAAATTTTAACTGTTAGGTGAGATGAGTTGTTTTGGGTTTTTTATATGTCCTATAAAATAAAAATCCCATCAAAATTCTTTTCTTCTTGCAAAATACTCCTTAGGAAAAATGCTGACCCATCTTGTTACTGATATTTATAGAGAGGAAATGAGGTGGTTAAAGATAGAGCTGTTCAATAAGTAATGGTCTAGGTAATGTGCAGGTAGAGCAGTAATTAAGGTGGACTGAGTATGGAGTTTACTTAACCCTGGCTAGAGCAGGATGTAACTAATGACAATTAGATGTCATACCTTGCCTAGGCTAGGTCCCATACTAGAAGGGAAAAAAAAAAAAATGCCATCAAGGGCGTCATGAAGAGACAAATTAGAATGTGGATGGACGTTTAGAAAAAAAAGCCCTGATAATCAATGTTAAATTTGCTAAAGTCAATAACTGTGTTGTGCTTGTGTCAGAAAATATTCCTATTCTTTAAGGGGCAAAGGGCCCTGAAGTATGGAACTGAGCTCTAAATTGTCCATTAAAAAAAATAATTTTAATACGTATGTGTATATGGAGTTCCTGGAGTCCTGGTGTGGCACTGTGGGCTAATGTGTTAGACTGCAGTCGTTTGAACTGCAAGGTCGTGGTTCAAGCTCACCAGCTGCTCCTTGGAAACCCTATACAAGGTCACTATGGGTCAGAATCAACTCAACAGCACTTAACAACATATGGAGTTCCTGGATGAGACAAAGGGTTAACAGGCTGGTCAAAACATTGGTGGCTGAGTCTACCCAGAGTTACCTCTGAAGAAGAGATCTGGTGATGTGTTTCCAAAATACCACTCATTGAAAGCCTTGTGATGCACAGTTTTACCCTGAAAGATATGAGACTCCACAGCAACTGGTTGGGTTTGGGTTATGTATACCCACTGCCATTCACACTCATGGCAGCCCAATAGCACAGAGGAGAACTGCTCCCGAGGGTTTTCAACACTATAAACCTTTACAAAAGCAGACAGCCTTATCCCACTCCTGAGGAGTGGCAGGAGGGTTAGAACTCACAACCTTTCAGTTAGCAACCCAATGTTTAACTTACTGTGCCACCAGGACTATAGGACAGGGGGAACTTCAAAAAATTCATGGAAAAATTCCGTTCTCTTTTCTTTTGTCTACAGTTTTTTTTCCTTAGTTATCTGGTGCTGCTGTAACAAAAATATCACAAGTGGATGGCTTTAAAGAACCAAAAATTGTTATTTCCTCATATTTTGAGAGCCTAGAAGTTCGAATTCAAGGCACTGACTCTAGGGGGAATTCAAGCTCGAGGGGAGGATACTTGTCTCAGCTCCCATAGCCCCAGGGTCCCTGTTCCTTGATCATCCCCACATGTGCTTGTCTGCCCCAGTTTGTGCTCCCTCGTCTGTTTGTGCTGCTCCTTAGGTCACTTTGAAGTGATGACGGTATGGTATGTACTCAGTAATCTAACAAAGGAGTCCTGCTGTGGCACTGTAGGATAATGCTCTGGACTGCAAGGTCCATTTGAACTGCAAGTTCAGTGGTTCAAGTTCACCAGCTGCTCCTCGAAAACCCTATGAGTTGAAATTGACTCAGTGGCACTTAACAATAACACTGTAACAAAGAAAACCCTAGTTCCAAACAGGACTATATACATCCTCAGAGATTCCCAACATATATGGGAGTGAGGGACACAAGTCAATCCATAATACACACATATACGTATATATGTGTGTATTTCTGTGCATATATGTGTGAATATGTACACTTCACATATTCATGTATTTACATAAAGTAAAAGAACAAAGGAGAAAATAAATGGGAGTACTAGAACGATCCTGGTAATATTCTGTGTTTTGTTTTAGTTTTTGCTGCTTATACAAGTTTAAAATTATTTCCAAATGAAAAATTATTTTTTAAAAAAAAAAACTCAAGTTCACAGCCTAGTGCCCGGCTGTGGAAAGCACTCAGCAACCACTCTGGCTCTCTCCCCTTCTGTCCTGCGCAGCGTGGAGACCGTGAATGACGGGCAGTTTCACAGTGTGGAGCTGGTGATGCTGAACCAGACCCTGAACCTGGTAGTGGACAAAGGAGCACCCAAGAGTCTAGGAAAGCTCCAAAAGCAACCAGCAATGGGCACCAGCAGCCCCCTCTACCTTGGAGGTAAAGTCCTCTTCCCTACCACTCGTTCCTCCTCCCTACCACTCGTACCTCCTTCACCACCAGCCCTCTGTGCTCCCCCACACCCTGCTTTCTTCTCTGCATCCCCTGCCAAACCCAAATCCAGGAAGTCTTCCTGGAGAAAGTGATGACCAAACTGATTTCTAAAGGATGAATAGGCATTAGTAAAGGTGAAGTGAAGAGTCCTCCAGACAGAGGACGGGTGTGTGCAGATGCGTAGAAAGAGGAGAGAGAGGGCATGGCTCCTTCATGGACTATAAATTGGTGGGAGGGGTGTAGATGGAATGAGGGAAGGGTGACAGGAGGAGGTAGGCAATAGAGGCAGGTCCAGGCATCACCCATCTGTGTCTCGGGTCACACACCCTCTGCTCTGCCACCTCCTCAGACACTGTGAAGGAAGCTGAGCACATGAAGGTAGTAGAACAGGTTTGAGATCAAGGTCATATCAAGGCCACCTGTCTGGCAGGGCCTAGGCCAGTCATTCTCAAAGCTTTATGTGCAAAAAAAGTCACCTGAGAAGCTTGTTCAACACAAATTCCTGAGAATTTCCCCAATCATCCATCTTGGAAGGACTAGACTGGGTCCAGGAATCTACCTTGTTAATAGGTTGTCTAGGTGCAGGAGGGATCCAGGAATGCCCAAGGCCCACAGCAGACCCAGAAGGACAGCTTCTCTCCCTTCACCTGCTCCACTTGTAGCTGGAGCAACACTGGGTGCTCTGGTTCCACACCTAGGCCAGTCTCAGTCTCACATCAGGAGGAATGGGTTGTAGAAGAGGAAACAGAACAGAAATCCAATTTAATTGGCAGCAGAGCGACTCTTTACCAATCGCTGTGTAAAGATACTGAGAAGGGCAGTAGCCATAACAGAACCCTAAAGCAGCAAAGCAGCCTAGAAACATCTTTCTCCACAAAACCCCACTTGACCAAGGCTGCTGTCCCAAATCTCCCTTCTCTCCCAGACTCTAGCTTGCCTGTCCTGGGGTCAGTGGTGCCAGATCCTACCCAGTGGGGATAGTCAATCCCTCTGATCAGCTTTGGCTACATGTGGTGAGGGATCAAATCACCTCCATGTCCTGGAGAAGCCTAACTTTAGGTTCTGATAGGAAATGTTCTGTATTTAAGTACTGGCAGTTAAGTGCTTGAAGGAGTCAGTGTGGGACAAACAGTGCATGTCCGCTATGGACAATGCTCAGAGGCTGGGTCTGGCCAGTGACCTTGATTTGAGCAGCAGAGGGTCAGCACTGTGAAAGCTCAGCCAGGAGGGGTCTGCTGGGTCAGACAGGGTCCAGGGAGGGTCTTCAGGCTCCCATTCTGGTGTTGTTTTCTGCAGGTATCCCCACCTCCACGGGTCTCTCAGCCATGCGCCAGGGTGGGGACCGGCCACTGGGAGGCTTCCATGGCTGCATCCACGAGGTACGCATCAACAACGAGTTGCAGGACTTCAAGGCTCTTCCCCCGCAGTCGCTGGGCGTCTCACCGGGTTGCAAGTCCTGTTCTGTGTGCAAGCATGGCATGTGCCGTGCGGTGGAGAAGGACAGCGTGGTATGCGAGTGCCACCCAGGCTGGGCCGGCCCACTCTGTGACCAGGAGGCCTGGGACCCCTGCCTCGGCCACAGGTCAGTGTCTCTATCTCACCTGCATTTTTCTTAGGCTCCCAGCATGGACTCAGCCCCTGCCCCTGCATGAGAAACAGAGGCATAGTAGTTCAGCTCTAGATGAAATCTGTGTAAGATGTAGCTGCTTCAGAGGTAGAGATGCTAAACTTACATAATTCAAACAGCAGGTCCCTCTCAGAGGCAACAGTTTCTGCCTTTTTAAAACACCCCAGGGATGTCGCTATCCAGTGATCTTTAGAACCTGTGCAGTATTTCAGCAAGCCCCTTGTGCTGCCTCTGTGTGAGCAAGACAGGGCGTGCCCTTTGGACTGCTCCTTGGGCGCTCGGTTTGGCACGTGGAGCTAGGGTGAACGTCAGCCCTAATTTGCTTCCTGCTCTGTTGCCACATACAACATGCATGGCAGCCCTGAACTAGAACCACACTGGGTGATCTAATCATCCACTCCTTTATTCAACAGATATTATTGCAGGATCACCATTCTCTGAGTTAAAGGTTAGAAACCCATAAATAACACCAGAGCCAATAATGGCCACTTGGTTGGTTGAACAAGCTGGTAAATGGTGTTTTGGATCAGGAACAAGGAGCAGTTATAAAGCATTGAGTTTGCTGTGCCTCTCGTGTGTGTGTGTGTGTGTGTGTGTGTGTGTGTGTGTGTGTCTGTGTGTACTTGATTCTATAATTAATATAAATCTTGGCTTTGAGTGTCATCCCAGTAGGGACACCGATGCATCATAGTTCAGAATCTAGGCTTTGGAATTACACTTTTGGCTTGGGTTTTCTCATCTATGATATATGGAGGAGACTAAGGATATCATGTTTGGTAAGGTGGAGAGTCAGAGAAAAAGAGGAAGACCCCTAACGAGATGGATTGGACAAGTGGCAACATCTATGGACTCAAGCGTGGCAACAGTAGTGAAGTTGGCCCAGGATCTGGCAGTGTTTTGTTCTGCTGTGCATAAGGTCGCTATGGGTTGGTACTGACTCAATAGCACCTAACAACAACAACAAACCTCCTGTTTAGGAGTCATGGTGTGGCGCCGTGGTATAAAGCACTGGATTGCAAGGTTGGTTTGAACCCGGTGGTTCAAACTCACCAGTGGCTCCTTGGAAACCCTATACAGGGTCACTGATGAGTTTGAACTGACTCAATGGCACTTAACAATCTACTGCATAGAAACAGCAAATTAGAGGTTTTTATGGAAATCAAGAGCGGTGCTAGAAATAAAGCACTAAACACACCATGCATGTATAGCAAGTGGTGGTGCTTAAGTGCCGTGGAGTCGTTTCCGACCCATAGCGACCCTGTACAGGGTTTCTGAGGCTGTAAATCTTTACAGGAGCAGAAAGCCTCATCTTACTCCCATGGAACAGCTGGTAGTTTAGAACTGCTGCCCTTAAGGTTCACAGCCCAATTCGTAAGCACTATGCTACCAGAACTCCTTATAGCAAGTAGTAGCTGCCAATAGTCATAGTTGCCATACTTGTGGTGGTGGGTGTGGGTGTGGTGGTGCTAATAGTTGTAGTCATAGTGTTAAGTGCCATCGAGTTGGCTCCAACTCATAGTGACCCTGACCTGTAGAGTGGGGAACGTCCGGCCCACGGACCATATACGGTCTGCAAAGGCAACCGCAGTTCTAGCCATCACATTGTTGTTGTTAAGTATCATTGAGTCAATTCCTACCCATAGCACCCTGTATAGGGTTTCCAAAGAGCAGCTGGTGAGCTTGAACCACTGACTTTGCAGTTCAAACGACTTTGCAGTTCAAACGACTTTGCAGTCTGTGCATTAGCCCACAGTGCCACAGCCATCACATTAGGGGTGAGTTAATTAAATGTTTGACTAAATACAGTAGGCTAATTTTTAAGTTGATTTTGTATGTCCTGCAAATAGATGTTTAAAATTTTGGCAGAAAAAAGATTCCCCACCCCTGCTTTATAGGGTTTTCAAGGAGCAGATGGTGGGCTTGAACTGCCAACCTTGCGGTTAGCAGTCCAGTGATTATCCTACAGAATCACACCTGTAGTCAAAGCAGTAGTGGTGGTGTACCGTGGAGTCAGTTTCAACTCATAGCAACCCTGCACAGGGTTTCCGAGGCTGTAAATCTTTATGGGAGCAGAAAGTCTCATCTTTCTCCCGCAGAGCAACTGGTAGTTTCAAACTGCTGACTTTGAGGTTAGTAGCCCAACCTACAACCACTACGCTACAAGAGCTCTTTAGCAGTAGTAGTAAACTAAACCTACTTCCATTGAGTCCATTTCCAACTCTTAGCAGTTCTATAGGGCAGAGTAGAACTGCGCCATAGCGTTGCTGAGCCTGAACCTCTTTACAGGAGCAGACTGCTTCATCTTTTTCCTGCAGAGCAGCTGGTGGGTTCAAACAGCCAAACTTTTAGTCAGCAGCCCATCATTTAACCCACTGTGATCGAGTTGATTCCAACTCATAGCGACTCTACCTAGGGTTTCTGGAACTGTGAATCTTTATGGGAGTAGAGAGCCATTGTGGCTAGCAGCCCAGTACATATTCTACTGTGCTACCAGTTCTCCTTTCTTAAAGTGGTGGTGGTTGTGTGCCATGAAGGCAGTTCTGACTCGTAGCAACCCTCTTTAGGGTTTCCCAGCCTGTAAATCCTATGGAAGCAGAAAGCCTCCTCTTTCTCCCAGGGACATACTGGTAAACTCAAACTTCCAACCTTGTAATTAGTAGTCCAGTGTTTATCCTACATAGCCACCACACTTGCTTATAGTAAGTTTGTCATCATTATCACTTAACATGTTTTTTGTTGTTAAGTGCCATAGTCAGTTCTGACTCAGCGACCCTATAGGGTTTCTGAGAAGTGGCTGATAGGTTGGAATCACTGACCTTGTGGTTAACAGTCCAGTGCTTATCCTACAGCACCATGCCAGGACTCCACTAAAAGATGATTGTTGTTGTTGTAAAGTGCCGTCGAGTCGGTTCCAACCCACAGCGACCCTGTAAGGGTTTCATGGAGCAGCTGGTGAGCTTGAACCGCCAACCTTGCAGTTCAAATGGCTTTGCAGTCTGACACATTAACCCACAGCGCCACATCAGGACTCCACTTAAGATGGGAGAGCAATATTAAAATACTTAAAGTACACTTCACCTCTTCCAAGCAGCAGTTTGCCATTTGGATATGAGAATTCTGATGTCTGTCTCTGTTGACGTCACAGCTCAGGGAATACTGAATTATGTTGAAGAGCATCCAGCAGATTGAATACTGGGGTAGAGTGTTTCAGAAGAGAGAGAGGCTCAGCCTCTGGGCTGGAGGAGGGCAGATGATGGGATGGGGAAGGCCTTTGGGGCTGCACTGAACCTGGTCCCTGGCCATGTGAGCAGAGGAAGCCTCCAGCAGCACAGACCCTGTTGTGCTTCCCCTTCTTATCCACTCCTCTGCCCACAGCTGCAGCCATGGAAAATGTGTGGCAACCGGGAACTCATACATGTGCAAGTGTGCCGAGGGCTATGGAGGGGCCTTGTGTGACCACAAGAATGATTCTGCCAATGCTTGCTCAGCCTTCAAGTGTCACCAAGGACGGTGCCATGTGTCAGATCGAGGGGAGCCCTCCTGCTTGTGCCAGCCCAGCTTCAGTGGCGAGCACTGCGAACAAGGTGAGTGTACAGTGCATTCCGATTCTGATCACTTAATCTTTCTCAACCTCAATTCCCTCTTCTTGAAAATTAGAGTAAAACAATATCTTCTGTATTATCTATTGCAACATATTATCCCAAAACATAGACGCTCAAGACCACCATAAACATTACTGATGCCAATGCAGTTCCTGTAGACCAGGAATTCAGGAGCAGCTTGCAAGTTCTAGCTGGAGTCTCTTTCAAGGTGGCATCCAAGACAGTCAGGGCTGCAACTAGCTGAAGACTTAACTGAGGCAGGAGAGTCTGTACACTCACATCGTGCTGGATGGTGGCAGGTTGCCTTAGTTCCTCCCTACATGTCTATAGGGCTGCTCCAGGGTGCTCACAACCAGGCAGCTGGCTTCCCTTAGGAAACAAAGAAAAAAAGGAAGTGATAGTATCTTGTATGAAGTTACTTACTCCATCATTTCCACAATCATGTTGGTTACCCAGGTCAGCTGTATTCACTCTGAGGGTGACTACATAGAGGGGGCCTGGATATCAGGAGGTGGAGACCACAAGGGCCATCTTTGTTATTAGGTGCTGTTGAGTTGGTTCCAACTCATAGTGACCCTGTATAGGACTTCCAAGGAGCTGCTGGTGAGCTGGAACCACCGACTTTGTGGTCCAGTGCTTTACCCCAGAGAGCCACACCAGGACTCCGTAGGATTCTTGTGAGGATTAAATGAGATGACAAATACCTGGAATCTGGCACCGGCAACCTGTGCTAGTAGTTTGGCAACTGAATTACATCACAACCTTGCCATTGTGGTTGAATTGTTTTTTTAAAAATCCATACTAAAACTCTTAAAGCTTTATCATTGTATCATGATAAAGACCAAACTCTGCACTTATAACCCGTATGACCTTTTACAACATACTTCATCTCTTGAGGCTTCCGTGTCCTCATTTGTGAAGTGTAGATAATGCATTGCCTACTGCACAGGTTTACTGTTTGAATTAAATCATCTAAGATCACCAGTTAAGATTCTTAAAGTTTAGATTTTTAACATTGTGTAAGTGGATAATAAATGACATACAAACTAAGGCTCAAATTAATAAGTGGCACGTAGACCATTTGAATTGTTGAACTTTCTCCTTCTTTTCTTTGCCAATGATTGGTTCTTGAGATGGCATGCCTTCAAAACGAATCCACACCCAAACCACTCCCTGTGGCCCTCTGACCAGCAACCTTATTATCACCTGAGAGCTTGTGAGAATTGCAGTTTCTCAGTCCCTGCCCCTGATCTTTTGAGTCAGAACTTACACTTTAACAATAGTCCCTGATGATTCAAATGCATGTCCATGTTCTGGTCTTGTTTCAGTCCTGCTGTCAGGAATAGAAGACTGTTCCATTCCCATAAACATGTCTCTTCTCATTTAGTGATCCCTTCATTGTTTTCATTTTGAGGTGAACTCCCTTCTAATTAAAATTCTCCTATCTTACGTGGGCTTTGGACTCTTAATGTGGGGCTGTTGGATTAGCACTGGACTGTTAGCCACAAGGTTGGTGGTTCAAATCCACCAGCTACTCCTTGGTAACCTTATACATATATAGGGTCACAATTCGATTCCTATGTATTCCATCTGGCTAGGTCTATATGTATGTTGCTGTTGTGAAGTGCCATCAAGTCAGTTCCCACCCATAGTGACCCTGTATAGGGTTTCCGAGGAGCAGCTGGTAAGCTTGAACTGCCGACCTTGCAGTTCAAATGGCTTTGCAGTCTGGCGCATAAACCCACAGCGCCACACCAGGACTCCACACTGAAAGGGTAGAGGAGTAGAATTGAAGAGATGGAAGCCAGAACCAGCTAGCTAGAAGACAGATCTCTCAATACTACTAAGACAGAAGAGCAAGCAGAAAAAAGGATTAAAAAAATCTGAAGAAAGTCTAAGATTCATGTGAGATAACATGAAGAGGAATAACTTAAGAATTATCAGCATTCCAGAACAGGAAGAATCACAGAAGACCACAGAGGAGTAGTTGAAGATCTGCTGGAAGAAAATTTCCCTAACATTTTGAAAAATGAAACAGTAAGCATTCAAGAAGCTGAACGAACCTATAGAAGGATAGACCCTAAAAGAAAATCACCGTATCATAATTAAGCTCCCCGAAATCAAAGTTAGTAGAGAATCCTGAAAGCAGCTAGGGAAAAGAGAAGTGTTACTTACAAAGCAAGCAAATCAGATTAAGCTCAGATCTCTTAGCAGAAACCATGCAAACAAGGAGGCAATGGGGACACATATATAAAATGCTAAAAGAAAAAAACCAAAAAACTGTCAACCAAGAATCATCTACCAGCAAAGCTGTCAATCAAATATGACAGTGTAATGAAATCATTCCAAAATAAACAGAAGTTAAGGGATTTTATCAAAGTCAATCCAAGCACTTCAGAAAATCCTAAAGGGAGTTCTTTGGGCTGAGAACCAACAAGAACAGACAACCAGAGATTGACATATGTGGCAACACCACCCAGAACAGAACAAAAGTGTAAGAATGAATTCAGAGGATCTGGGAGGTCAGCACACAACCAAAATGAAGAAAAAACCAAAATCAACACATTAACACAAAATCTCCAACTTAAAAAAGACCAGCCAAGTAAACCTGTCACAAGAAGAAAAGAAGTCATAAAGATTAGAGCAAAATAAATGAGATAGAAAACAGAATTTGAAAATCTAGAGGAGATGGATATATTTTTTAGAAAAGCATGACCTACCTAAACTTACACACAATGAAGTAGAAAACTTGAACAGACCAATAAAGGAATACATTGATCAGATTATCAAAAAACTCCCAAACTGAGGTGCACAAAAACATCCATACTTGCAGATAGTACCCACCTGACCTGGCTTCGATGGCTGGATGATCAGAACTCTACTAGAAGAAGAAAGAAGAGGGGGTAAAAAAAGAGTAACCACTACAATTTGATGAACTTTACTTATGGATGTAGTAGCTCAAAAGAGGGAACAAATCTTTACAGCGAGGATCACTCCCACCCCCTCGGTACACAGGGTTGACAGGGATGGGCAACTTAGACATTGGCTACCCAAAATGGGTGTGTGTGTGGGGGGGGGTGCTATAAAGGCAAGAAGTGACTGGCTTACAAGCTTTCAAGAGGGAGCCTAGTTCCAGACAGGGTGGGGGAAGGTAGAATCACCACTGAATGATTTCCAATCTGTTGGGACTGAGCTGGTGAAAGGAAATGGGGATAAGATGGTGCAATAGTGAATAATTGCCATCAGGACTGACTGTGAGGGTAGGAAAAATAGAGGTAGATGTTTTTTGACAAAAGGAGCAGAGTGATTGATTTTGCAGCCCAGGAGTGAAGTTCCCTGGGATCATGAAGAGAGAGAAGAACGGAGAGGGGGACCCTACCCAGAGAGGCAGGGATTCCAGGGATGGAGACAAAGATGATGATGTGGACAGATGGAGTGGCTGGGCACACTGGACTCAGGGAGGGAGAAAGGCTGTGGGCTGGCAGCCGGGAGGCAGACCACACTGGTGTACCCTTTGGTTATTTGATGATGTATGGAGGGGATTGTAATCATTATAGTGAAACAAAATACTATAGGATAAGTGTAAAGCTGGTGTTCTCCCATGTAAACCTCACAATAAAAACATTAAAAAATAAAAAACTCCCAACCAAAAGTCCAAGTCAAGATGGCTTCACTGGAGAGTTTTTCCAAATATTCAGGGAAAAGTTGTCACCAATTCTATTCAAATTATTCCAGAATATACAAAAGGATGGCAAACTTCCTAATATATTTTAGGAAGCAAGCCTAACTCTCATACCAAAACCAGGGAAGGACATCACTAAGAAAGAAAGTGATAAACCAATATCCCTCATGAACATAGATATAAAATTTCTCAACAAAATCCCAGCCAACAGAATTCAGAACACATCAAAAAATAATACATCATGACCAAATGGGATTCATATCAGGGAAGCAAAGATGGGTCAACATTAGAAAAACATTAGAAAACCAATCACTGTACTCCACCATATAAATTTTAAAAAGGAAAAGAACTACATGATCATATCGATTGATGCAGAAAAGGCATTTGGCAAGTAGGAATTGAAGGGAAATTCCTCAACATAATTAAGAGCATATATACAAACCCAACAGCCAGCATAACTTTCAGTGGAGAGAATTTGAAAGCCTTCCCTATGCGAACCGGAACCAGACAAGGATGCCCTTTGTCACCACTCCTATTCAATATTGTGTTGAAAGTCTTAGCCAGAGCTTTATGGCAAGATAGAGAAATAAAAGGCATCCAAATAAACAAAGAGGAAGTAAAAAACTCTATTTGCAGATGATATGATTCTATACATAGAAAACCCCCAAAGACTCAGCCTAAAACAAAAAAACTACTAGACCTCATTGGAAGATTCAGCAAAGTGGCAGGGTACAAGATCAACATAAAAAATCAGTTGGCTTCCTCTATAGTAATAATGACAACACTGAAAAGGAAATTAGGAAAGAATTGTTGTTGTTAGGTGCCATCGAGTTGGTACCAACTCATAGCGACCCTATGCACAACAGAATGGAACACTGCCCAGTCCTGGGCCAACCTCACAATTGTTGCCACTCTTGAGCCCATTGATGCTGCCACTTTGCCTATACATTTCACTGGGGGTCTTCCTCTTTTTCTCTGACCCTCCACCTTACCAAACATGATATCCTTCTTCAGCGACTGGTGGTCCCTCCTGACAATATGTCCCAAGTATGAGAGATGAAGTTTGGCCATCTGGGCCTCCAAGTAGCACTCTGGCTGCACTTCATCCAACACAGATCTGTTTGTTCTTTTGGCAGCCTATGGCACTTTCAGTATTCTCCTCCGAGACTCAAAAGCATCAATTCTTCTCTGGTCTTCCTTATTCACTGTCCAGCTTTCGCATGCATATGAAGTTATTGAAAATACCATGGCTTGGGCCAGGCGCACCTTAGTCCTCAAGCTGACATCTTTGCTCTTCAAA